GTTCACAAACTAAATGGCAATGTGATAACAACTGTTTCACTGCACGCGATCGGAGCACGATGTGTCTCTGTCGGCTGCCGCAATGGAACTCAAGAGCAAACTTGAATTAAATCAAAATCTACTTCCACCTCGGAACATACGTTGACATCAACGCTTGTTTGGAATTTTAATTATTATCCACATTCGTGAAGATTTTTTCTACTCAGGACTCTGTGATATTGCATTTATTGAGGAAAGGCCACCTGACTATCGCGTCAACGATGCTGAGGTTTGAAGGCCCACGAAGGGCGTGAAGATGCGTATGTAGTACGATATCCGTGTTTTCGTCACCGGATGTCCCTGCAAAAGGGCAGCTGTCGGTTTGCGTTAGGTGCCATTTTGTCCTAAATTGGAGAGTTCGGACGAGTCGTTTCTTTGGACAGCCGAACTTTAAAGGGACCGAAACTTCGGTCGGGACCACAGAATTGGAGGTTCTTGCGGTGCTTTGGGCTACCCGGAAGTTCTAAACACTTATTGGGACGCCCGTTCATAGCAAGTGTTGCCAGAGGTAGATTGTCCGAATGCGAGATCTCAAGCGCCACCATGCGGATTTTTGCAGAGGCTGGGCAATAAAAATGCGGATATAAATGCGTATGCGTATTTCACTATCTAACCATGCGCCTCTCTCCAACCGCCGCCATTCGCAACATTCTTATACAAATTTTACCCGAGAAACGGTCGTACAGTCGTGTAATTTCATACAGATGTTGTACAAATATTTGCGTAATATCTGTCACAATTCTGCATACATTTTAAATCATCGTGGTTATCAATAAATATATTTTCAATTTTTGTTGTTCGGATATTCGTAAATCAAATTTTGGATGGGTAGCACGTTTAGAAATGAAAAATGTGAGAACCCCTTTAAGCAACACTTTTGACTTAAAAATATACGGCATTGTATTTTTTAACTTAATTTAAAAGCAGTTTTTAAAATACATAACATAAAATAAATAATATAAAATTAAAGTGTTGAACAAATGTCATAGTATACTATTAATATTTTTTATTTGATTGCTGCGGATGGCGGATATAACGATGAAATGTAGAGGAAAATGCGGAAACGTGGTATCTTTGGTAACACTGGTCATAGCGGCCGATAACACGTTGGTATTCTTAATGAGAAGCCACACGACCGAAAGGTTGTTGTGGTGAACCCTATGGTTACAACAGTTCGATTTTGGCGTCGAATATTGTGAGGGACGAAAAAAGGTGCTATCGGATCTGTCTAGAATGAAGGTGAAAGAAAAGTACTTGTCGTGGGATATGCTGGCAGCAATCCAAGTACGCAATATTGACGCAAAAAGGACGAGAGAAGCAGTAGTTAAACAGCTCTGCTGTCCCATTCACGGCATCTTTGTGAACCCGGACTATTAACCAAGAAAAATGCCAATAACTTTCATATCTCCGCACTTATGCTCTTCTTACTTCACTTTCTCTAGCGCTAATTTTATATTCTTGTATGTTTCCTTGGAAAGAACTGAATGGACAATTGGAACTGAAGAATATTTGTTCCCATTATAAAACAGAACAGCTTTTATACTGATGTTTGAGGAATCTGTAAAAAATCGTTCAATCATTTGTAATGTATTTTTCAGCTCCCAAAGAATTCACTAGACGAAATATCATTGCAGTATGTAAGATTCTCTTCTTAGCAGAGGTACAGGGCAAATTACTCTGCAGGATGCATTGGTGCAATGATCTTTCTGGAGCTAGGAGGTTCGTTTCTTTTATTCTTGATTCCAGGATTTGAGCAGCAGCTTTGCAAAGACCTAAGTCCCTTACCAAATCATTAAGTTCATTTTGTGTGAACTGTTGACTGCTCGACGTCGTCTTCTTGAACAGGATCTGATTAAACTCTAATTGTCTTCAGTGTTTGAAGATGATTCGTTTCCACAAGTGTCTGACGGAGAAAGCACAGGAAAACCTGGTTGATGAGCAACGGGCTTTTTTGCTTACAGATATGGATAAACAATATTTTTCAGGTTTTTTGAATTGTAGCCTTCAACGTCTCCTACACAACAATTACTATCATCTACATGATTTCGATGCTCTTGCCAAATCATTGGATCAGCAAAAGATGGGCTTGACTCCATTTCCTTAATTGTTCAACATAAGTATGTCACTTTTTTGGGAGCCCATTATTTCCAGATCTCCTTGTTGTATTCGAAGGTAGGCATGGTATTCTTTTTTAACAAAGTTTGTGATGTCTTCTTTCTTTGCCGCAAAACTCCCACAAATGTGACGAAACATGTCAGCAGAATTTTTACATTTTCTGAATGGCATATTATTTCAAAAGACACACATCGAGCAAATAAAGTGTTCACTCAGAAATGTAACTGCTCACTATCTGAAAACTGATAGTATACTCAACATGAATCGAAGTAAATGTAAGAAGTATTGTCGCGTGCTAAAGTGATATCAAACGTAACAATTTCAAAAACGAATTTCATGAAATTTGCTTCCTTTCAACACAAGTAACATAATAGAAATGACCAGTACATTTATAATAAAAGCAGTAATTGTAAGAAAATATTACGTGATAGAGAAAAACCGTTTGTGTTTTCGAAGTCGGGATGATATACTTTATAAAGAAGACGTATTTTACGTACTTTATAAGAAAAACCCAGAATCATGCAGACTAGTGATTAGCACGTGCGTCATACCTCAGAAGATGAAGTAATCGAACGACATTACGAAGGCAAATTCCGAGCTGATGTATCAGAAAACCAAACAAAATAAAATGCTGCTGATTTGAATGGATCATTACCAAAGAGGAAATTAGGCAACCAGTATATTTTTTGTAATTTTGGACTTTTCTTAAAATTGGTGCAGATCTATCCGACCCGAAGACCAGGGAGATTTTTCGAAAAGAACTTCCGTAATAAAGTAAAATATCAGTTTGGTCCCAAATACAGAAAAATCGTTGTTCCATCGACCTGAGAAATAGGTCGATACTGACGTGAAAAACGCAGTTTTGTGTTGAAGAATGTTACAGGAAGAGGTCGGTTAGGCCAAAAGAGCATAGTGCTTCATCGCGGAGAGGGGGCGGTGATCCCCCGCTGGACGGCGCGTCGCCTGGCGGAGGTTTTCCCCATTGAGGGATCTCTCACCAGTCTGGCCCCACCTCAGCCGGGACAAGTTCGAAGCCCCGGACAGGTCTCGCGACGTGTGTGGTATTGTATTGTGAGTGAGTGTAAGTGTGTGAAAGTAAGGGATGAGGAAAGGACATGGAAGAGGAAGGAAAGTTCGAGCGTGACCCGTGAGCAGTCTGTTAAGGTTCGGGACTTCGCCTGATGATCTAAGTAACCACGGAAAACTACCGAACACAGCGGCAGGCTGCTAGAATTCTCCTCCAGACATCATCTGAATTTGACCCAGCAATCTAGCTAGAGTCGCAAATTCTGCCTTCAGGACCAAAAAGCTAGGAGAGGGTAGCAGTGACATCAGTTGTGACCTTTCCCGAATTTTAAACCAGACGTACATATTTTCTATTGAATGCACATAGGAGTATATTGAAAAGTATTGTGAGTGTGGATGTCTTTTCAGGCATAATTTCCGGAGCATGGGACATGGGGTCGCTTGTATCCGTGCTGTTAATTGGATACTTCGGCGTGAAAGGTAACAAGATGCGCATCATTGGAGTAGGATCGTTGCTGGTGGCCACATCCTGCTTCATAAGACTGCTCCCCCACGCCCTCTACGGGCCTGGCAGCGACGTCCTGGAGCTCACCTACGAACACTGGACTGGCGACTCGCTTCTTAACATCACTAACGGTGGGTTTCTAGTCATAACAGTAGTACAATTTTGACTAAATTTTGCCTAACTTGACTAACTTTTGCGACAAGCCTCATTTTCTTCACAGCTGCTTTTATTTTGTCGGCCGAAAAACGTTTTTTTTCACATAATCTCAATTACTCGGTTCCTTAATTCTAGGACAGAAACCACCATACACTTATTACTACAATAGAAGCATAAATTTCATGTTCTAACGGGGTGGCCGGGGTCGGTAAATTGGCGGGAACGGGTCGGAGGGAAGGTTGGCTGGTTCGATTCTTGTCAGGGAATTAATATTTGTGACGCTGGGTTGCCACGGGTAATAATTAAGGATTCCACAAACTTTATTGAAAACCATCTAAAGCAATTCTAATCGCAAATATTATTAATCAATATAAATAAGCTCGAAATGTCTGTATGTGATTTTCGTATTTTTAACATTTAAACAATTTTTCTCATCTCTTATTGGATTTGTAAAATGTATGAACCATCAAATCTATTTTTGTTTTTTGGCGCTGATACTATTATAGAAGTGCTAATTCTCTCTATAATACGGGTGGCCTAAGTGGTTGAATGTGGAGTTCTGTCTCAGCGTTTCATGTAAAAGGTCCGGTTTTTCGAGGCTGGCTTGGGGATAATTATTTGACCCAATTTTCTGTGGCTTTTAACCAGCAAAAAATATTTATCGCGATGAGTTCTGCCTGCCGAGCTGCAATCTTTTTCTGCCCAAAAGACATTTATTTTACATTTTGTTAATTCTTCCGCTGCCTAATACTGCCACTGAAACACGAAGCTCTAATAACTATTGTAGGGGTGCCTAATTCCTATAAGACCCTGGTGGCCGAGTTTGGTTAAATGCTGTGTATTGACTCTATGCTTCGGAGACAAGGTCAGATTGTACGAGCCTGGCTCAAGGATAATTATTTGTCACAATTCTGTGAGCTGCACAAAACTGTTGAAAATAGCAGAAACTAAATTGAAAATTATTTGAAGCACTTAACCAGCAAAAAATATTAGCAAAAAATAACACATACAATTAATTAAGAAAAATAAATTTGAAGTGTGCATGTGATTTTCGAATTTGCCACGTTTAACCCCCTTGTCTTTTCACATTTTCTCAGCTCCTTAATGCTGGAACTGAAACAGTTTAGTCTTGAATAATATAGAAGTATAGAGTTCTCGTCCCCCTGGCCGAGGTTGTTAAATGGCATGTTCGGGCTCATCACTTGAAACCAAGAGATCGCCGATTCGTGGCCCACACGGGGATTTTAAATTGATGAAAGTGTTGTTGTAGAAAACTATTAGGGTTTCGAAAAACTTTATTACAAATCATTTGAAGCATTTCTACCCACAAATGCAATCGTCACGCCGTCCGTCCGTTCCTCCAATCTGGTTTTGTGGTTAAAAATCGTAAGTATTTGTATTTTCCTCTCCAATATCGTAATTGTATTAGAAACACCTTCACATGTGTGGGGAAATTACAATACAAAAGAACTTTAAATACAAATTTTACGACCGAAAGTTCTATATCGTATTGTTGAGGGTTTCTTTTTTAATTTAAGGTCGTATCAACGTCGCATGCAGTCGTTAGCGACCACTATATACGATTAACGATATGGTTAATAGTTTGTTGTGATATGGTAATGATATGGGGTGAACGATGAATACAATTCAACGGCACTACTGCTTTAACGATCTCGGCCATCCGGACGACTGATGAAGTTATTCCAATACACTCCTTACAGTGTACTATTGTACATAGAGTGAAAGTATAAAAATGTCACCAATATCAGGGCAACGCGACAAATGTTTTTAGAACGTTTTAATGCAAGTTTTATTGTGCACTGTCTGGAACTTTGAAGTTTGAATACATAGGATTATTCAATAACACGAGTATTTTTCTTCCTTTCTAACGATAGTTTCCAACTTGGGACTCCCTGTTTGCGGATCTCCGGAGTTATCCACAGACTGCACAGAGGCAACTTCTACTGTGTCCGTACCTGCGATTATCATGTACGTGGCGCAGTTTATTCAAGGAATAGGCTGCTCTGTGTACTGGACGCTGGGCCTCACCTACCTCGACGACAACACCACCAAAGACAAAGCTCCTCTCGCTCACGGTAGGCTCAATTTGCAAATAATATCACTTATTCAAGTACGGCGTTTTACTATCTTTTATATCCTTGGTTCCTCGTACCATCGCGTCAAAATTCGATTCAGGCGTGGCAAATGCTCACGCTTGAAGAGGTCTACTATAAGAATTAGAAATTACCATTCAGTACCCATAGCCAATAGGTTGCGTTTACTGATTGGGTACATTATTTTTTAGACGCCACTAGTAAAAGCTATTACTTTTAGGCTCCGCACAGCGTACTGAAGTTCAAAATTTTAGTACTATTTCTAAAAATAGACTACGCTTAAATGTGCAGATCGAACTGGGAAAGCTATAAAGAAAACAAAATATTTTCGTCTCATCAGCTACAACTGATCTTAATTAACAAGGTAACCAATTAATTAACTTGAATTAAAAAAAGAGGAAAGTCAGTAAGTCGATCTAAAAACTGCGTATGGCAAGTTTTTTAATTTATTTATTTATTTCTTATTTATGTATTTCCTTATTTATGTATTTCCTTATTTATGTATTTCCTTATTTATGTATTTACTTATTTATGTATTTACTTATTTATGTATTTACTTATTTATTTATTTACTTATTTATTTATTTACTTATTTATGTATTTACTTATTTATGTATTTACTTATTTATTTCTTATTTATTTATTATTTATTTCTTTATTTATTTCTTTATTTATTTACTTATTTCTTATTTATTTATTGATTTATTATTGATTTATTTCTTTGATTGTTTTGTAGATAGTTCAGTTTTGGATACATTTACGTATGTATTGATGACTTATAACTTAACTTATCCTAACTTAATACTACTACAGAGGTTGAGGAGACCATAATGGCACCTCATAGGAACTATTCCAGATCTGAAAACAATTTACAAAATATGTGGAATGAATGTCTATTTTTATGAATGTTTGATGATGGGGTTTTTGCATAGTTTGAATGAAGATAAGGTTTGGATATGGAGCATATTTGAGAAGAAATTGTGAGATAGGTAGGTAATGTGGTGCATGATGGGATCGAGGTTGAATTCAATATGTAATTGATGATTAGAAATGAACCAAGGTGCATTAGATTGTACGGAGGAATTGGTTCTGTACTATTTGAATTTTGTTGATGTTTGTTTTTGCAGCATTGATCCATACTGGGCAAGCGTAGAGAAGAGTAGGTCTGATTATTGTTTTGTATAAAGTTACTGCTGTTTAATTTATTAAACAGGTAATTATTTCTATTTATTAGAGATTTTAATTAATGCAGTTTGTTTTTAGTTTGCATTATTGTGATGTCTATGTGCTGACCCCAGTTCATTTTGGTGTCCATGTGCAGTCCAAGATATTTTATGGGTTTATTTGGTGGGTACCATGGGATGGGCTCATTATTTAATGTTCATAATGTGCATGGTCATAAAAAGGGAATATTTTAGCTGCAGTTTTCTTTGGGTTTAATTTTATTTTTAATTCGTATGACCAACTGTCTTTTTTGTCTAGATACAATTGTATGTTGTATTTAATATGTGATTAAAGAGTGGTTGGAAGAGAAGATAAGTGTGTCTTCTGAAAACTGTGCTGTTTTACTGTTTCATCTATGGGGATGTCTGCTACATAAAGACTAAACATTATGGGTGATTGGGGGATCCTTGTGGTAATCTTGCTTTGATTAACCTGGAATTTGAGTGATAGTTGGTGATTGTTTCTGCAAAGGTTCTGTTGAATAAATAGATTTTGGATTATTGAGGTGATGTAGTGTGGAGTGCTTATTTTCATTAATTTATATATTAGTGCCTGGTACCAGACTATCAATTGCCTGTGTTATGTCGAGTGATATGATTATTGTATGATGTTTTTTTCCGAAATGCTGTGTTGAAATGTTCAGTGATTCTGAGGAGTTGATGTTGTGTGGACATATAATCAGTGAATCCACACTGCTCTCTTGGGATTGCTTTTGTTATTTGTAGGTGCTTTTTAAGTCTTTGGAGTATTATTTTTTCGAAAATTTTAGACAGATATGGTAGAAGGCTTATCGGGCGATAACTGTCGGTGTTGGCTGAATTTTTATTTGGTTTCGGAACCGGAAGAATAATTGCATGCTTCCAAGCGGATGGAAAGAGATCTCATGCTTTTATACCGAGAATTTTCTCTGCAAAAATGTCATGTTTCTTGTCTCTCATAACCCGCCAAACGCGGATTTTGACGGAGTAGGTGATATCTTTCATACCCATGCGTTCCTTCTTCAAGGTTTCAAGTGGACTCGGGAGAAAATAGAGACCCTGTTAAGCGTCCTTCATTGACTACACATCCAATAACGTGAGTTTGTTTCTGTTTTGCAGCTACTACTCAGTGCATTCGACTTCTGGGTCCTACACTAGGATTTACGTTCGCCGCATACACATTATCGAAATTCGTGGATCCTACGCTCACTCCTCGGATCGACAACACAGATCCCCGATGGATCGGCGCGTGGTGGCTAGGTGAGTGGCTGCTTTACATCAAACTGACATCTTTGCTGTTCGTAGAACAGAAGGCGATCATCCATAAGAATAATGTTTTCTTTCTAATACTTTTGGCAATATAATATTTATTTAACTTTTAAGTCATGTAACGAGTATTGAGATTCAAGATATGATGATCTGCATAATCATAAAAATACGTAGTAGTATTTAAAATTTTGGAATTTTAGTTTATATTTAATACTGCATTATTAGGTTAAGAAAATTTATAATAGTGGGGCGATAGAAACTGGCTACAAGGGGGCTCTCAAGAAATGAGTATCTTGTGAATAGGTTTTGGAAAAATCCTGCCATTGAACTTCGTTGAAAATAACATTGACTTTTTAAGAATTTAGTTATTATTCAAGAATATTATACAGCTTTTACTACAGGAGCTTCCTTGACTCGAATTTTCTATTAACAATGAATTCTGCTACATACATGAAATTTATCTGCCCCGCGCTGGCAATCTAAACAAGAAACATAATGTTTTTAAAACAACTCAATTCTCATTCACATCTTTCATTAAATTAACATAAATTCATCCATACATTTGTTTGTACTATGCGCGGCCATGCTTCTGTACTCTTTGTTCATTATTTTCCTAAACGTTAAAATATATACATATTATAACAACTTTCTTTTCCTACAATTAACAAAATGTCTTTGCACGTCACTTCCTTGGCGCTGGTCTGCACGCTTCACCGATGTGATTATTCCCAATCCATTCCATATTATTCTCCCTTGCATTCGTCACCATCGCCATCTTGCATCCTCTGGTCTATTGTCCAGTTTCTAATTTCCGTACTAAATTTTACTCTTACCACTTAAAAATACCATTTACTATTCCCATGTGAATTTTACAACTATTTTATAACTAGAACTTTGTCAAACCCTGTTTCTTTTAGCACTGGGGAAGGAGATTAAGTATTTAAAATGCTTTTTAAGGCACCTATATAGGATATTCCAAAAGCTCATTCAGTTTCTGTCGATAAGACGAATCGATTCACATTATTTATCTCGATCCTTTCGGATTATTCTAGACAAAAAATTTGTTGGGAATATTTCACGGCACATACAGGTCGGCAACTATTGTACTGCACGTGAATAACTGTACTGCATACTAAGTGAATAATTGTTCTGCATAATATGAATCGTTACAATGTATTTCAATTTTTCGAGTATCCGATAAGAATTGTTGTATTTATATGTAAATCATTTCCATTGGGATTTTTAGTTCGGTTTCCTTTGATACTTTGAACAAATTCTTACTGGTTTCTTTTCTTTTGTACCTTCTGATAGTAAATACACTATTTCGTTTTAAGTGATTTTTGACAATAAACAAATAAAAAGAATTTTTGATAAATACTACTTCAAACTAATGTTTATGTCAATAATGCGAGACTGTTCAATAGAATGAACGTAGTCAACTCAGAACTGTTGCATTCATTTTAAGGATGGGCCCCTTTGGGTGGCGTCGTGGTGTTCCTGTCTTGGATTATGCTCCTATTCCCAAGACAATTGCCTCGCACCGCAAGTCGTCGGGCGGAACGTTTAAAACAGAGCATTGTCATTCCCCCTGCCACTTCAAAGAGTAAGTATTGCATTTTATAGTTTAAAAAATGTTGATACTTGAAATAATACCAATAAAAAATTGGAGATGAGTTCATATGATGTCTCTTCATAAAAAATATAGGCATACGAATTTGTGGGCGCCAAAATGATCAAATTTGTGATAAAATTTTCATCTCGAAATTCCTAAAAATTCGATACTTAAAATGTACTTTATTATTGTTGAAGCCGCACCGTACAGTCGCGGCTCGACCCGGACAGCTAAGAACACAGTTTGATGTTTGCGCTCGTCTATTCACTTCTTTACGTATTCCACTAAGATTAGTTTAAACTTTCATAGCATAAAATCTTTCCCATCCATATATTGTATAAATAAAATAGACTATTACTAGGCATCATTTTGGCACATTGGGTGGCTCATATCATTTTACGTGCAATTCAGCGAAGATTTAAACGCAAAAAAAACATTAAAAAATATATTTAATATTTACTTATTTTAAAAAAATATTAATAAATAAATTTTAACATCAACAGCAATTTCTTATCAACAATATTAGGAAATAAATAGGATGCAAAATCAGAAACGGAAATAATTTTTGACATAAAATGATTTTTTTCATATCTTCAATTCACGTGAATATAATTGTAAAATCAACATCAATATTTCTGTATAAAATGTGGAAAGGTGAAACCTTGCAACAATTATTTACTTTGAATTTTCACATTTTCACTAAGAATGAGTACGATATCGAGAACTTAAAAACGAAATATTATTCCTGGAAAGGGTCGATAAAGAACTTACATGTTCCTACGAAGGATGAATGTGGTAATATCTCCCATGAAAATCCGTTCGTTTTACGTATTATGGAAAACTGCATATATTTTATTATTACTCGTTGGGATACCTCAAAACTAGAATTCCCTATTGTCTCAAACACGTAATATTACTGCACATTTCACGAGAACTTAGTTACTTCGTGTCAGCACAATACAATGATTTTGACATTAATGATGGAAAATGACAAGTCAAATAATCAAATGTGTATTATTTTTTCAGATTTCTTTCTTGCCATTCGACACTTACTGAGCAACAGAATTTTAGTGTATAATAGTTTTAGTGCAGTGTTCTTCGTATTTGGAAATGTGGGTTACTGGATATTCATGCCAAAATACATGGAAACAATGTATCAGCAAACGTCTTCAAAGGCAAGTCTCATATCAGGTGAGCATTTTTTCTTCAATTGTATACAACTGTCCTTTCCCTGGAACAATATCTGTAAAATTGTGTGCCACTTCACTTTCTTAAACTCATTTACCGAGATTACTCTTTGGTCCTATGCTTCAGCATAGAGCTTTCGCTTTCGCACCACCATGAGCCACCGTCTTCCAGCGCAGAAGCTTCGGGGGTTTGGCCGCACAACGTGGCGCGGCGTTCAAAGGGAATACCAATTTTGTGTCTTCCTCTGAAACTAACAGCAACTTAATCTTACGAATTCACGTGCTACTGAAAGGACACAAATTCATTTAATTCTGAACGATATTGGATGTATTATTAATGATGTTTGGGAAATATATTTTCTTTTGATGTCGACCCTTATACGATACGTAAACGCTGAAGTAATAAGCATTTACTTAAAGTAAGTGAACCCTTATGACAGTTTCGTATTCATAGTCCCCACTTATTCGAGAGTCGCCCGCGGACATTATTTCGCTATCTAATATTTCGCAACCTTGCTTTATTGGCTACTTGATACGAATCTAGAAGGCCGTTCAAATCTTGTTTACAAATTTGGCGGATTTTTTAAGCGTTTGAATAGCATTTGGTTTCATCGACATACTATCAGCAGAAACTAAATTGTAAAGGTTGTTTCGTTACTTACAATGCGTTTAGTCCTATGCGGAAATTGCTATTGGCAAAATTTGCCCAATTTTGCGTGATTAGGTAGTATAATAATTGCCGTGCGATATTTGTACAACACATGAAGGGAATTTTACGCAGTTTTTAATATTTCTTGATACCATTTAATATTTCTTGATATTTCTGTAATAATTCTACAAACTGAGGTCTGTCTTATTCTATAGAGATTTGCACATATCAACTGAAAAAAACAAAAACCTCTTTTTACAGGATTCTTTGTGATCATCATTGTACGATATCCTATCAAACATGGTCCTTGTAGCACAACCTACATAATACGTCCGGTGGTCTGTAATTGAAATAAATAAATTACGTAACTGAAATGATAATGTTGCATAAAATCTAAGTGACATTAGCATTTTTAGTATTGATGGTAATGGTTATCATCTATTTCTCAAGTCCACGTTGTGAGTGAGGTAACAGAAACACTAATGTTTACAACTGTACCGATCTCAAAACGATATCTCTTCTTAAATTCTTGTTGCCTATGCATTTCCACAGAGTTTTGCAGGTTTCTCAAATATCTTTTTTGAGTACGATCTTCCATATTGATTTCAATAACTTCAACAACTCACAAAGCCTTTGATGTTATTCCACTTTCAAACACAAAGGATCCACTTAAGGGCACAGATAAGCTTACTTATAAGAATAGGTGAATGCTTAGAATGTAAGCACTTTAGTGACGGCTATGAATTGAAAATGTAACGAAATGTAATGAATAAGCAAAGACAAATGTTCCTCAACAATAAGTGTCGACTTACGGCCATAAGTCACAAGTCTTCTGCAATGTGCAGTGATTTTCTCAGCAGCTCTGGCTGTTTTTTTCCGAGCGCCGCAATGCATCGTTGTGAATTCGAGTGTGGAAGATCTTCAATTGCTGTAATATACACCAGGAGAGTGAAATTTTAAAAGTTAAATAATTTTATTTCGTTATTATCGCTGCTAGTAGCAGCAATAACAACCAAGACAATGAAGTGAACTAGTATAAATCGTGAGCAAACAATAATGCTTGTAATGTGAGCAAATATACTTGTTTCCTATATATTGCAACGGAACACGTTTGCGACGTATATGGCACCATACAACGCTTATGGTGACTAGGAGGTGTTAACTCGAAGTGAAATTGCTTCGGCATGGGCTAACCTCCAACGCTGGATGTCTTCACCGCCAATACGTTTTCAGGTCCGTCTAGTTGGTTATACTTTGTACCTCCAGGATATCCTGTCTAAGAACGTGATTTCTGAGTACTCCACATAAGCGTGCAAAAATAAATTTAAATTATTGAAATTTGTGACAAAATATTCTTCAATACAAAAAAATTGAACAATGTAACACTGAAGTACATCAATGAACGCAAATCTCGTGTTCATGAATGGTGCTGGACTCGAACGTCACAGCCAAATTAATATATGTTGAAAAGGAAAATTACCCTTTTTAATTTTAATTCTGAATTTACTTCTTTAATAATACTAATTGGCTGAGCTACCAGCTGGTGCGTATTTAAGTAGCCCGGGTTCTTAAGACCTTCACCTACTTTTAACCAATTTACCTTTACTAACAAACACCTTCATAAGCTAAGAATTATTTACAATTAACACTTGTTTAAAATTTTCATTAATGATGTCGTCAATAGATTTACGCACAAAATAAGCTTTGAAATAAACTATTGTGAGAAATAATCATTAAAAATTCCTGTCTTCTTTACAATACTCCAATTCTGCCTTTCTTTCTCTTTCAAATCAATTCTTTAATTCAATCACTTCTAATTTTATTATTTATTTTTAACTGATATTAATAATTTGTTAATACAATTCTTATTACTCTTGCCTTCGCTCGCATGAGTACTCACGTTTCTGCAGCATGGTAGGGGTGGATGGACTTGGCAGGATCTGCCGTCTTGGCGCAGCCACCGCAAGTCTCCGAGGCTGGCAGGTGACCCTCCCTGTTCGGTGACTTCTGCTCGCCAGGAGCGCGCTGGCCCGCCGCCTAGGGCTCGCTGCCGGCAGACCC